TCGCTCTCAGTTCCCCCAAGTTCCCCTGGCAGCTGAGCCCGTGTCTACAGCCAGCACAGCCACCGGCTGCAGGGGGAAGTGAAAGGCGCCATGGCCACCAGTGGGGACCCCAGGCACGCTGCGGGCAGGGCACAGCCCGGCTCAGCGCCACATCCTGCACACACCACATACAACCCCAGCACGGGACCTGGGAAAGCCAGGGCGTGGAGCAAGGAGGAGTAGGGCAGGCAGGAGGAGGAAGGCTGGCTGGGACTGCACTGGGCACAGGGCTCCTGCAAACCCCGACTCCCTAGGTGGCTGCAGCCCTGGAGCAGAGGGGTGGCAGGTGGGGGGCCAGGGAATCCCTGGCAAACTGGCTGCACTGCGGGGCCAAGACGTAGCCCTCAGCAGCTGGAAATCCAACTGGAAACCACTCACTACCCTGAGGGGTCGGTGGCTGCGCTGGAGGGGGGGCTGCCGGTCAGAGGGCCCCGGAGGGACAGGGAAAAGGTCCCAGAGGGCTGGGGGGCAGCACTGGGGCACCGGTGGCCATGGGCAGGCGAGCAAGCACTGCACCCTCGTGGCAGTGACACCAACCCTGCAGTGTGCTGCTTCTGCACAGCATCCAGCTGTGCTCCTGTTTTGCGGCCCCAGCACAAAAAATGGTGCAAAGCCAGAGCAAGTCCCGTGGCACACCCCCAAACCAGGCTGGGGGCTGCAGCCCATGCCATGCGAGCCGGGATCCTTTCTCCGAGGGGGGTTGCATGCACCTTCAGCTGCCCAAAGGGGGCTGCAGAGCAGACAGAGCCAGGCTCTTCTCCAAAGCATCTCCATTCTTAGAGGCTGAAGGTCCCAAGCCACCTCCCTGGTGCCCCCCCAGCCCACATTACTTTAGGATCAGCCCCACAGGCTGCCACAGGGCACATGAAGGGGCAGTTCGCAGTGCACGGGGGCAGACCCCAGACCCAACGTGGTCGCAGGGGGTGGGCAGCTTCTCACCCGTAGTCATCGGCGATGTCCATGCGGCGGTAAAACTTGGCAAGTCTGACAGCCAGGATGATGCTGGGCAGCAGGAAGAAGGTGCACCAGCCCAGGCTGAACCAGAAGGCATTCTGGGTGCAGGGGGAGAGCTATCAGGGCCCAGACAGCGTCTGGGAGAGCCTCTTCTGCTCCCAGGCCCCCCGCAAAGACCACCCACACACCCCTTCTCACAGCCTGGCCTTTGCTCCTAGCCACAGCAATCTGCTGGGGAGATGCTGAGCCATGCTTGCTCGGGACAGAGATGGGTACTTCTCATCCTGTGCATGAGGGGGACAAGGGGACCTCATTGCCACCCCACACACACGTGTCATCCCCCACACCGCTGCCCCACTCACCAGAGAGTCCAGGATGTAGTCACAAGTGATGGCCTCCACGTTATCCAGGGTCTGAGCTATGGGCTTGCAACGTGCCACATCTCCCGTGAGCTGGGGACACAGTGGGACAGGACATGTCAATGTCCCCAAAACCCTGCAGCCCGTCCTCCCCCTCCCTCCACCCCACCGAGGAAGGCTCAACTCACCCTACTCTTGGCCCAGGAGATGTATGTCTCAAAGAAGTCAAACAGCTCCTCCAGGAAGGCCCACGTCTCCTGGGGGAGGGGGCAAGCAGAGATTGGAGATGCTGCACCCCCAGCCCACTCCATGCCCCATGTCCCCTCCATGTCAGGATCAGGGCTGTGAGACCACCTCAACACAGCAGCAATGGGGCTGCAAGCCCCACCCCGCCCCAGCCCCTTGCCTAGGGTGCCATAAGGGGAGGGGGCACCCAGGGGTGCAGGGGACCCCTGGGGAAGACAACAGGGCAGGAAGAGCAGCCAGACATTGCTTAGCATCCCTGCGCAGAGGGAGGTCTTGGTGTGGGGGTCCAGTCACATGCCCACCGGGTGGCCTGGCAGCAGGGCAAGGTGAGCTCACATTTTTGATGATGTTTGCCGTCTCCCTCTCCAGGAACTCCTGGGTTTCACTGGCTTTGTCCAGCACAGCTTTTGTCTCTGCCTGGGGTGAAAGGTGCTCTCAGCAGTGTGATGGGGGAAGTGGGGTCCCCGCATCTCCCCCACCCTGCCCAGCAGCAATCCCTAGGGTGCAGCATCTCTGAGCTGTGGTGTCCCCAGCAGTCACACGCCGGTAGTGCCTGAGTACCTCGGGTGGAGGGAGCCTGCGCCTGGCAGGGTCCGTGGCGTGGTCCCACTCCCTCTGCCCCATGAGCAGCCCCTACAGTACATGCTTGGGGAGTCCCACAGCAGCTACCAGCCCCCCAGACTGCAGGTTAGCCCCCACCATCTCCATTGCGGGACCTCAAGGGCACTTTGCAGGGTGCCCTGGACTGGGGTGCGCTCAGGAGGCCCCCTTGTGCAGCTTACCTCGAGCTGGGTAGCCCTGCTCTGCACCGAGTGGATGTTCTCCTAGAGAGGGGGGTCAGAGGCACAGACACCACAGCTCTGCCAAGACCCTGCCAGCAGACTCCGAGCTTTGGCGGAGCCCAAGCCAGCACCCCCAGGACCTTTCCCACCCAGGCATCGCTCACCAGCGGCCTAGACAAGCTCATCTGCATCTCCTTGTCCAGCTCCCTCAGCTTGCGAGCATCAGCCTTCAGGTCCTCTTTCACATTAGTGCCCTGGAGGAGCTGCAGTCAGCAGTGACCCCCAGCACGAGGTCCCTGCCCCACCACAGCCATCTGATGGGGGGCCGGGTTGGAGAAAAGAGCTGGGCGAGGGTGAAGGGCCTCACCTCCCCTCAGCACCCAGACAGGTCTGCAGAGGAGCCCCCCCAGCCAGTGGCTTTAGGGACAGCGCGGCCATGGCCCCGGGGTGCTGTGGTCTCTCAGCGCTTTGTCTGCCAGCTGCTCCAACTCTGCGGCCAAATCCAGGAGGCTTCCCTGGGTCACGTTCTGATCCAGCTGGAAAAGGCAGAGACAGAGCCGTGAGACTGGGGACACAGGCCTAACGGGGGGCCGTGCCCCATCCCTGCAGGGTAGAGTGGAGCCAGGGCCTCCCGGGTGGAGGAGGTGCCCAGTTGCCCCAAGGGGTGACATGGATGGCAGGGGACACCCTGGGAGCTTGCAGTGGGACTCCCACAGCAGCAAAGGGGAGGGGGCAATGGACCTCCTCAATGTGCATCTGGACGCCCCCCATCCCAACACCAGGCTGCCCCCAGCCCACCTGCTCCAGGGTGGGGGTGAAGTCGGGGGGCTGCCCGGCCCGGCTGGCATTCAGCAGCAAGTCTCTCTGGCTCTGGTTGAGCAGCAAGATGGGGCTCAGGGTGATGTTCATCTTCTCAAAGGCCGTGGAGATCTCTCCTGTGTACTGCCAGGGCGAGGGGAGCCATGATGGGGCACAGTGCCGGCCCCTCGCTGTCCCCCCAGCACCAGCCCTATGCCCCCAGCTCTGCCCCCCCGGACCCTGGCACTCCTGCACTCACCTGGCTGATGTTCAAGAGCTCGTCCAGGGACACGCTCTGGTCCAGGTGCAGCGTTTGCCACAGGGCAGCGTCTTGCTGGCACTGCCTGCAGGAGGGGGGCACGGGGCTGAAAAGGGGCAGGTGAGTGCCACCCCCTCCCAGGAGTGTGTCCTCACCCGTGAGGGCAAGTCGCACCTCGCTCCTTCCCTGGCATCGGTGCCTGCCTGCAGCCAGGGCAGGTAGGGCAACCTGTCCCCATCCTGGGGAGCATCCGAGGGCGCCGAGCAGCCATGTGCCTCCCCAAAGACACAGCACTGGAACTGGGACCCACCTGTACATCTCCGAGAAGTTTGCTGTGCCACCCTCCTGGCCCAGCAGCTCCGACAGGTTGAAGCCAGGGATCAGGCCGGGGGTGTCCAGGAGCTGAGAGCAAGGGAAGAGATGAAGAAACTAGACAAGGTGCAGGGCAGGACACCTGGGAAGACCATCCCAAATCGGCCAGCGCTGCCTCCTCTCCACCAGCAGCCCTTGGAAAGGCGGCAGTGGCTACAGGCAGGGGGGGCTCCCCGCAGGGAGCTCACCCCAAAGACACAGCACTGGAACTGGGACCCACCTGTACATCTCCGAGAAGTTTGCTGTGCCACCCTCCTGGCCCAGCAGCTCCGACAGGTTGAAGCCAGGGATCAGGCCGGGGGTGTCCAGGAGCTGAGAGCAAGGGAAGAGATGAAGAAACTAGACAAGGTGCAGGGCAGGACACCTGGGAAGACCATCCCAAATCGGCCAGCGCGCTGCTGGCTGCGCCAGGACTCGCAGATGAGCACGTAGGTGTTCCCCCCCAGCATGAAGGGGATCAGCACCAGCAGCATCAGCAGCCAGGAGAAGATGAAGCTGAAGCCGACCCCTCTGTCAGAACAGAGATGCCATCAGCACCCGGGGCCCTGTGCCCCGGCATCGATGCTAGCATTGCCTTCAGCTCAGAAAGCCCAAAGCCTGCACACCCCTTTCCTCCCCCCGCAGTGCCAAGAAGCACCACCATTCCCACAAGCACATCTCCACCCTGCCTTCAGACCCTAGAGCCCTGCTGGGCTGCGCCATGGGGCTCGGACCCCGGCGTGGCTTCCCCCAGCTTTGCAAGCCACCCCCCGCTCACAGAGCCACAGGACCACCCTTGCCAGGCCCCCGCCGGCAAGGGGTGAATGGGCTCCACTCGAACACCTTCCGCTGGCACCGTGTTTTACCCTTGCGTTTACCACCTGCACAGTGAGTTGCCATGGGGCAGGCCATTAAGCCGCAGTGATTTGATGATTTAGGAGCTTGAGCATCCCCAGGCCAGCCCTGCCCACCCGTCCCAGCACTCCTGCACATGTCCTCGGCAGCCGAGGGAGCCTCACGCCATGTAGAAGTTCCCGCCGGCGTTGGAGAGGC